TACCATATTCGTATTCGTATCCGGGAGAAAATATCCGTATCCGTATCCGAAATATCCGAGAATTATCCGATCCGAAAGGTATCCGTATCCGTTTTTGTCCGGAGCGGACGGAAACTATCCGCTCCGTTTTCATCCCTATTCATAATCAACTAATTCAATAACATCCACTTCTTCTAAAGTTTCATTTGGCTCAAGGAAAATTTTTAAGCGTTGACCGTTTACCTTAAATATGTTACCTGAGTCGTCGCAGAGTGTGATTGCCCCGTGCGAAGAGGTGTCGATGACGTCGAACGGTCCTTCCCATTTGCTGCGCAGTTTTTCGTGGCCGAAAAGCTTAACCCTGGAGTTGAATATCAGTACTTTGTCTCCTGGCTTGAATTTCTTGATTTTGATTCTTTTTTCATGCCAGCGCTTCGTCCTTTCTTTGTATATTTTCGCGTTGTAGTAGGCCTTCTCTTTCCATTCTTCAAGTTCAGCAATCTGCATTTTTCTCCATTCTCCCGCTCCCTCAAAATCCATGTTCCAATTCCTGATGGCCCAGTATGCTCTATGCTCAAGTTCTACGGGTAGTCGACATGACTTCCCGTAGACTATCTGATATGGGGACATTCCAATGGGTGTCTTGTACGCTGTTCGGTATGCCCACAGCGCGTACGGCAATCTATCCTTCCATCCTGTTCCCATTTTGTTGACCGTCTTTTGCAGAATATTCTTGATTTGTTTGTTCGATGTTTCTGCTTGACCACTGGTCTGTGGATGGTAAGGAGTGGCCATATTGTGTTTGGCTCCCATCTCTCGTAGGAGGTCTCGGAAGGTTTTGTCAATGAAATGAGAACCTCCATCACTTATGACCATTCTGGGGGTACCAAATCTTGGTAAGATGGTTTCTGTGAACATCTTCTTGGCATGCCTCGCATCCGCAGCACTGCACGACATAGCCTCAACCCACTTGGAGACATAGTCGACTGCCACCAGAATGTACTCGCAGTTGCGAGACTTAGGAAAAGGTCCCGTAAAGTCTATACCCCAAACATCGAATATCTCGACTTGCAAATTGTATGTAAGGGGCTTTGCATCGCGAGCAGTGATTCCTCCTTGCCTCTGGCAGCTAGTGCATCTTCTAACGAATTCTTTTGAGTCTTCATACATTGTTGGCCAGAAGAAACCACTTTGCCAGATTTTGGCCTAGGTGCGGAATGCACCGTAATGGCCACCATAGGGTGAGGCGTGGCATCGTTCTATGATCTTAAGTCCTTCATCAGTCAGCACACATCTTCGTAGTAGGCCATCGGAGCAGACCCGATATAGGTATGGCTCATCCCATATATGACGGCGACTTTCATACTTCAGTTTTCATTGATTTTCCCCTGGTGGAATGTACTTGGATACCATGTAGTTTACTATGTTGGCATACCACAGGTTGGAGTCGCGAACCGTCATCAGCATGTCATCTCTCAAGAAATCATTTATTGGTTGTTCCTGCATGTCAGTGATCTGCAGCCTGGACAAATGATCTGCTACGGAATTTTCTACTCCCTTTTTATCTTTAATTTCTAAGTCAAATTCTTGGAGCAGCAAAATCCATCTTAAGAGACGTGGTTTAGCATCTTTCTTAGTGAGCAGGTATTTCAAAGCAGCATGATCAGTATAAATTATCACCTTGGCTCCCACTAAGTAATACCTGAACTTATCGATAGCAAAAACAACCACGAGCAGCTCTTTTTCAGTATTCAACTGAGCTCCGGTTAGAGTTTTGCTAGCGTAACAGATTGCATGATGCTTTTTATCCTTGGTTTGGCCTAAGACCGCACCAACAGCAAAGTCACTTGCATCACACATAATCTCGAAGGGCAGAGTCCAATCAGGAGGTTGAATGATTGGAGCATAGACGAGTGCCTTTTTGAGAATTTCAAAAGATTTTAGGCACGCGTCATCGAACTCAAAGGGCGCATCCTTGGCTAGCAAATTGGTCAGAGGTCTGGCGATTGTAGAGAAGTCCTTGATGAACCTTCTATAAAAACTGGCATGACCCAAGAAGCTGCGGATTCCTTTGATGTTTACAGGGGGAGGAAGCTGATCTATAACATTGATTTTAGCGTGATCAACTTCGATTCCTCGTTTGGACACTCGATGCCCAAGAACTATCCCTTCACCAGGTCCTTTTCTTGGCATCGTTGTAAAACTTTGTCTAAATTCTGCAGACAATGACCGAAAGTCTTTCCATAAACCGAGAAGTCATCCATGAAGACTTCCATGATATCTTCGATCATGTCCGAGAAAATAGACATCATACATCTTTGGAAAGATGCAGGAGAGTTACATAGTCCGAAGGACATCCTACGGTATGCATAGGTGCCATACGGACATGTGAACATAGTCTTACTTTGGTCCTCCAGATGGATAGGAATTTGATGATACCCGAAATACCCATCAAGGAAATAGAAAAAGGAATCATTTGCTAGACGTTCCAACATTTCATCAATGAAGGGTAGCAGGAAATGAGTGGGATTAGTGACGGGACATGGGTGACGTGCGGCCGATGGCGGCTACGGTCGGGATTAGCTCGATAGCATCCTCAGAGCAAGGGGACGCGAGCGGCATCATGCGGCGGTGGCAACGCGACGCGAAAGAGAGAGAGAGAGAGAGAGAGAGAGAGGGAGATGCGGAGGCAGTTTCCCGGGAGGAGATGGATGACAAAACGGTGGTGCGACGAGTGAGGAGACGCGCGTCCGCGGGAGTTCGGGATAGGACGGCGTGATGGAACGGAGGGTGACGTGGGATGGCGTGGCACCATGTCTCCCGGAGGGAATCCGGAGCGAGGGACGTGGTCAGATTTTGCCGGGATCCATGGCTTGGCGCGGCACGGTTTTGGTGCGGCGCGACCTTGGCTCAATGTGGGTTTGGCATGACGCGGCCCTGGCGTGAGGCACGGTGCACAGGAGGGTGAAGAACGGCACAACACAGCACAGACACGATGCGAGGGCCGTGCAACGTTGGGCGAGACATTTTGTCGAACTGTTTGTTTGCGTGTGTGTGGTTGCCTCGAGGAAGAAGATGAAGAAGGTGGGCTGGGCCGGTGCGGGAAGGCCATGGGCCGGCCTGCTCGGTGAGAAAGAGAGGTGTGGGTGGAGGAGAGAGTGAAAGGGAGTTGGGGAGAGGGAATGAAAAAGAAAAGGAGGCCCAATGAACAGTGACTTTTCTGATTTTCTCTAGGATTTTGGAGTTGATATTTTAAGGAATTTTTGGAAATATTTAAATTTGAATTTTGACCTAGGGTTTGACAGAAATTCAAAGGGATGTCTAAGAGAGGATTTGAGATCTAATTGGCACAAAATAAAATAAGATCCAAATTTTAACTCCAAATTTTTAAATGATGAGATTTTTAAATAAAAGAAAAATTCAAGGGAACCGCCATCAGCCCCTCATCTCCACATTCCACGTGGATATCCATGATTCATGCCTCTTAATGGCGGTTGTGGGAGTTGCCGACCTAATCAACCGTCATAAGCAGGCTATAAAAGGAAGAAAGTTCTCATTTCACAACACGCAACAAAGTGGCATACAACTCACTTTCATACTTTAGGCGTAACTTTAGTAGTGTTGAGAATATAGGTAGAGAATTAGGGGAAGTTTTGGAGGAGTGCCGAAGTTGTCGACACTCTTTCCTCTCTTGTACCTCGGCGGATGCTGGATGATTTTAATAAGTTTTTCATTTAAATTAATTGCTGAAATGATGTTTGTATTATTAAATTAGTTTTTTATCTCTAAAAAATCTAAGAAAATTTTAGAGAGTGTAATCATGGAGAATTTAATAAAAATTAAATTAACCCAGGTATTATTTGGGAAATTTTATTTCCCACATTAACTTCACTTGTAAATTAGTTGAACTTTAATACAAGTTCTAGAAATATTTTATTAAATAATTTATAAATCCTAAAGCGAAAATCAGGGTGTGATAGCCTGTATGCCATCCCCGGTCTCTATTTGCTCCATATTAGTGTGGTGAGGGTGCTCCATCTTGCTGACAAGCACTCGTCGACAACAAGTGTAGTGGTGATGGTAGAGAGTTGACCAAGGTGCTATCTTGTCTGTGCTGTGTTGCAACTTTATGCCATCTATACAATTGTATGGAGTTTTTCATCGACAACTAAATTGACAACCACAAAATTGTTTATAGACAATAGCATTTTAACCGCTATATACCTGAGTAGCTAGTTTGTAGCATTTGGGAGGAGGGCACCCTCTATTTCTACTATTCAATCTTTGCCACTTGGAAAGATCATCGCAAATTATTTCCTCCATGGAATTCTGTCTTGTCCACTTGCCAAGATCCTGAAAGATCTACTGCAAAAATACTATATATCATTTATAGAATCTTCTTCACAATATCACACTTTAGATATTTCTTTCACATGTAACCATACCAAAGTAATGTGTTTTAGATAACTCCTAATTATTTTGTAGATGTCAAAAGTTTCAATTCTTTTTACTTAAATTATTAATGAGCAAATCATGGTTGTATACTAGAGAATTTACAACCTAAATAAATTTGCTTATAGTAAAACAATTCAAGTTTTTCTACTAGAAATCATTTAGTGAGTTCACAAAACTATTTTATGGCCCGAATATTTTTATATTGGATATAATTTTTTGTGTAATACTTTTTTTCAATTCATTTACAATTTTTTTTAAAAAAATATGATTTGGTTAAGCGGAGGCCATATTTTCACATCAATGCCATGTCAACCAAAACCAATCTTGAGATTCTGAGAAACATCTAATGACTAAATAGTTGGTGAGAATTGTCGAAAATTTGGGTTTCCCAGTTTTTTGTGTTCATTTTTTAGATTCTATAACTATAGATTTTTTTATAACATGTGCGAGAATCAGGATTTTTTAGGAAGCTGTAGATTCTGGGAGAATCCGCAGTTTCTAGAAATTCCCCCAAACATGACATGTCTAGATGGAGCTTGCCGGAACAACTAGTGAGGATCATGGTGTGGGGCATGGAACTAGTGAATCTTCACTGCATAGGAAACAAAAAAAAAGGACACACACACAAACAAATCTACTAAAACCTTTGACATGCAACATAGAACAAACTGTTGTCATAATGCGCAAAAATAAAAACCAACTGCTTCAATACATAACCCTTCACGGCCAAAAAAGCCAACAATGCTGCCATTGCCCGACATTGGAGCATGGAATGGAGTGCCTCCTCCTTGTCCAAAAGGTCCATACTGATGATGAGTATTGGTGACAAAGGTAAGAGAGGTTATGACATTGGGGAATTCACCAAATGGACCAAATGTTCCTGAAACTTTGACAAAAAATTCTGAAGGACCAAGCTGGATCTACAACAAACAGGAAGGATAAAAAAAATGTTACCAAATCAACTGTATGCACAAGGAGATTATTAATTGTCAACAGATATTATTAATGGAAGAAGGAGAAAAGACACCCTATACATGCTTGATTATCTTTAAATTGCTCCCTCCTATAACCAAAGGGTGCATGCTTGATTATATTTAGAGTTGTCCCTCCCATAACCAAGAGGGATATCTGATAAATATGTAGCAAGGGTGCATGCTTGATTATATTTAGAGTTGTCCCTCCCATAACCAAGAGGGATATCTGATATATATGTAGCACTTTTTAATACTTACCACTTTCATGACTGATATAAATCCTAGCTAGTCACTCATTTACAACTAGGAGGAGTAGCTTTTATATACAGTACACACTCACCGTATAATTGCTCTCACCACCACTGCCCCATGGACCTACAATGTGTTGTTGTTTGTCATGGCTTATGTATGAAAATGCAAGTGAATTGATTACAATGTTACTACTAATTGTTATGCTTTCCAACTGGTGTGGTGTGACCTTGATGTCAAAAGGGTTCCCTCCACGTCGGCCGAATGGTCCAATCTTGGTAAGCCCAACCTAAACATAGACCAAGAAAGAAAAGAGAACAAAAGGGGAAAATAATGCAATATGTAAGAAAGTTCTACACAATAAAGAGCACAAACAAATTGCTGATAAATCAATACATTTTCTTCTTCTTTCCTTGTTCCCATGGAAGGTGTCACATAGACACCTATTGCATCAACATAAAGGTTCGCATGTCCAAAGAAGCCAACAATGCTGCCATTACCCTGGACTGGAAAGTCGAAAGGGATCCCATTTTCTTGACCAAAAGGTCCATAGCAGCCAGCATTAGTAACCAATGTAATAGATGTTACAACATCAGATGGTGTATTGTATGAACCAATTGTTCCATAAACTCTAGTTATGAACTCTGAAGGGCCAAATTGAATCTGCAGGAAAGCAAAAATAATTACTATAATAAGATGACTCAGAAAAACATGACATGCTTTAGAACGGTATAACATGGATTCATGTCGAAAAATGTCACCAGCTTGTGCTCAGACGGAATATTCATGTAATTCCTATAATTTTTGGATACATGGATGAGATATGATCACTAAATTAATGCCATTTTGTCTAAAAACTAGTTAGACATTATACAATATTAGTTACACAGTATGCAACTCATGTTAGTTTCATGCGTCTGCTAACTAGAACAAATAAGAGTTTTTGTGTAGGTGTCCCAATGCTCTTTTTAGATAGAGTAAACTGCACGTAATGCCAATTTAATCACAAAAATTAGACATTTATAACTCAAACATAACATTAGTGTTAAGGATTTAAACCCCAAAATCTACAGTATTGTGATAATTTATTATTAAATCTGTATTTTTGATATACTTAGCCTTAAACTTGTAGTTTTGCGATAAATTTATTATTAAATCTGTAGTTTTGTGATAGATCATCTTAAATATGTAGTTTTTTTTATAATTTGGTCAAAGTATTTGTAGTTTTTTTTTGGAATTTACTCGAAGTCTTTCTATCATGATAAGTTCTCTAAATTTCTCTATGAGACAATTGCACCATATATTTTTTTTCTTCAATCTTATTTCTTACAACAATTCATTATCTTGATTTTTTTCCCAAGTAAATAATGAATAGGGAAGTTCATTATTTTTCCCCAACAATTCATTAATCATTATCATGATTAAGAGAAAAACATAAAATGTACATATATTTTGAGAATTAATTTTGTTTGGAATACACACATACCGTCTGATTACTCCCACCATGGCTGCCCCACAAACCTGCCAAGTGATGATCTCCATTATGGTCATTGTAAGAAAATGTGAGTGAGTGTATCACAATGTTACTGCAAATTGTCACACTTTCCAAATGATGGGGAGGCACCATGATGTCACAAGCCTCCCCTCCCTTTCCACCACATGGCCCAATCTTGGCAAGCACAACCTAAGTGCAAACAACAGTCACGAAAAGGAATCATAGCTAAAAGAAAATAAATGAAATGAAACAATCCGAGCTTAGTTCAGTACTTTGCCCTTGTCTTTTATTGTTTGGAGATCAGGGTTCACATAGATACCAATTGCATCAAAACACCACCCTGCACGCCCGAAGAATCCAACAATGCGGCCACCACACTGCACTGGTATGTGGAAAGGGGTTCCCTCTCTTTGTCCAAAAGGTCCATAGCTTTGAGTATTTGTAACAAATGTAAGAGAGGTTATGATATTTTGAAATCCAGCAAATCGACCAAATGTTCCAGAAACCTCCACAAGAACCTCTGAAGATTCAAGTTGAATCTGCGTTTTACCAAGACTAGTCTCACTTATTCAAGTACATATGATTGGGAAACATGTACTAATTAACTAACAAAAGAAATTTTTCTTGGTAAATATTCATGCTCACCATATGAACATTACTACCACCATATCCTCCCCAAGGACCCGCAACATGTTTCTGTCCATTACGGTCGCTATATTCAAATTCAAATGAATGTACAGCCAAATCGCTGTGAACTCTGATGCTTTCTAGATGGTGAGGAGCCACCTCAATATCATAACGCCTCCCTCTATTTCCACCCCATGGTCCAATCTTGACAATCCCAACCTAACAACAAACCGATAAACCAATAATTCTACAGTAAAATGAGAAGGAAATAAATTTAAGGGATTGCTGCAAAAAAAAATACATTTTCTTCTTTGAATATTTTCATCTCAGGGATCTCTTCCATTCCATCCCAATACATCAATCTTTCAAAATGTTTGCTCAAGTCAAGGGTTGGGGAGTTGAGATTCAAGTTGGTTGCACTTCTTAGTGCAACCTCTGCAGCCTGCACCTCCCAGAGCCTAGCGTAACGACAGTCAATCTGAAAATGTACAGTCTTGAGGGAGGTGAGATTCTCCAAGCCCATGTCCAAATCACTGTGAAAAACTTTTGTCTCCTTTAGTTGAAAACAAAAGGAAAGCATTTGAAGCCTCTGCATGGCTCCATGTCTAAAAACTAGCATCATTGCAGGACTTGTAAAGTTGAAGTTAGCCAGACATTGGAATGCTATTGCCTGACCATTACCTCTACTATGACCTATTATCATCAATCTTTCCTTTAAAGCGCCTGTCACGCTCAAGTATAGAGAACAAAGTGCAGGCAAGTCCCCAAGAACTCCAAGATCTTTTTGTTGTAGTATCTTGACAATGATCGATAAGTATGAGAGATTGGTGAGTGATGAATTGATCCACCTTGGTAGGATAGAGAATGGGCTAAACTCAGCCCACCCAGACAATGGGTTGAGCTTAAATATGTCTTCGCTTTCTCGGCGAACACCAACTGTAAGTTTTTGGAGTTCATGAAGGGTCCAATCTTTATTCAACATGAAATCAAGGGATATATCTGGAGCAAAAATATGGACAATTTGAAGTTTCTTCATAGAGCCTAAACAATCAAGAAATTGTTCCTCTTTGGTCTGCTCCCATGTGCTTATCAAAATTTCTAGAACCCGTAGATTGGGCAGATCGCTTAGCTCTTTCATAAGACTTGGATACATGCTGGTATCAATCTCTGACAGTTGTTCTAGACATTCCATATTCCCAATCCCATTTGGCAACTTTGTCCATGTGTCCACCATAAGACGCATAAGTTGTGTAAGATGTACAACAGTTGATGGCAATTCTTTTATTCTTGTCTGCTTAATATCTAATGTTTGCAAAAATCTTAGGTTTCCAATTTCTTTTGGAAGCTTATTATAATGTGTACCACGCAACCTTAGATACCTCAGGTGAACCAAATTACCTATATTATCAATATTTTGACTGCTGCAATCTCCTAAATCCAAGGCACGCAAAACTCGAAAGCCCGAAAGGGGCATCTTCAAATCAATACCTTGCCAAAGTGACCTCACATGGGAAAATCTCTCGGTTGCATCAGGTATTGTAATATCATCCTTGCTGTTTTGTAGGGATAACCGGTAGATCCTTTTCGGTAGATCCGACGTCGAACACTGACCATTTAAAATTGCAACAAAATTTTCTTCAATTGATAAACCGGCGATAAATTCCAATATGGTATCATGCACACGACAAGCTTGTGCCTTACCATGCACATCAATGCATATCGGTTGGATCAAGTTTCTATTAATGAGTTCATCAAAGTATCTCTCTCCTTTTTCATATAGAATTGTACCTTGTTTTGGCTGGATAAAACCTTCAGCTATCCATCTCCATATCAGGTCATCTCTGTCGATGATATAATCCTCCGGAAATATACTGAGATACATAAAACAAGTTTTAAGAGGAGAAGGCATATCACAATAACTAAGAGATATTATCCAGCGCATGTCCTTCACATCAGTACTACTTTCAAGTCCGCTATGGAAAGAACTGCATACCGAGTTCCAGTGGTCCTCAGTTTGTGTCTGCCTATTTGCAAATAAGCTAGCAATAGTAATTATAGCTAATGGTAAGCCACCACATCTTTTCAAAATTTTCTGAGATATGCCCTTAAGCTGAGGAGGGCATCTTTCATTATGGAATACTTTGTGATATAGTAGTTTTTCAGAGTCAGCAACTGAAAGAGGCTGTTGTATTTGTATGGTACCATCAACATCATCAGAATAGCAACACAACTTTGCAACATCCATGTTGCGAGTAGTGGTGATTATTTTGCTACCATGATCATTGTCGATGAGAACACATTTTAGAAGTTGCCATGTTGGTTTATCCCATATATCATCAATAATAATGAAGTACCTATAATTTCAAAGTATGTTAGTTGAAGAAGGATTAATATTTATTTTTCGAACGTGCAGGAGAGCTTTGCATTGTAGTGACTTAGATAAATGGTTGCATGGGTTACATACATATACTTGTAGTGATTTAGTTGTAACCTAAATTGTACAAATATGATAAACAATAATAAACATAGAAAGAGGAGTATATTAAACCTTAAGCTAGAAACAATCATTCGTTTCCACATTGTCCCAAACACAGATTAGTTTTGGGTAAGTGTCACTGATGTGGCCCACTTTGTAACCACATCTGAACTTAGAACATTAGTACATAAATTTAAAAATAGTTGGCCCATGAAAAACAGTGTCTAAAAAATGGAACATAATATATGTAATGTAAATATTTCAAGTGCAATTCTAGAATTTTTCAAGTATGTTCTGAAAAGCATTTACTATTTTAAAAATTCAATAATTTTTCCAGAGGCTGACATGTCACCCAGAAAACATTCCAATTAAATTGTAACCAAAGTTAAAAGGTGAATGATTTCAGTAGATTAGATTGAATTAATGTTTGGTTTAGAAATTCAGGTTCATTTTTTTTTCCAATTTCCACAAAAGCCCAGGGATTCGAAATTGACCTTTTTAGCCACTCCAAAGACACCTTGACTCAGTGCATTTTATAGATGCAGATGCCGGGGATGCAATTCATTTTCCATATCTAAAACTTCCAAAGACACCCAAAAATTCAGTGATGGTTTACATACCTGATATCCTTGAGAACATCCCTGATTTTGTCGATGATTTCCTTCTCACCCCAAGAACTGAAATTTTCATATTTGAGTTGGCTCACTTGACAGAGTATGCTGCTAAGAACAGCCTTGACGTTTGGCTTTTGAGAAACCGAGACGAAAGCTTGGCATTCGAATTGGCCATGGAGCTTCTGATACACAAGATTAGCTAGGGTTGTCTTTCCGATTCCTCCTGGCCCAACAATGGCGATCAGCTTGAGCTTTCGCCTCATCATCACTGCACCTTGATATCCTTCCATGGATAACAGCTTGATCACCTCCTCCACTGAGGCGTCGACGCCGACGAGGCTTGCGAAGTTCGCGTACAGCGCCGGCAGCCGGCGGTCCACCGGAGCGTCATCGACGACGGCGACGACGTGGTCGTCGATCCTGTACCTTTCCCGGCGCCTGCTCACCTCCTCCACCTCCTTCTTGATGCGCTCGATCTCGGCGGCGATGGCTCGGCTCCGGCGGCGAGCCGAGCTGGTCAAGCCGACGACGAAGGAGCAGCACGGTGGTGGTGGTGGTCGTCGTCCGGCGGCGGCGGCCTCGCGGAGCAGGTAGGTGTCGATGGCGTCCTCGATGTGGTAGGACATGTCGCGGACGTCCCTCGCCCAGAGCCTGACCTGCCCGTCGAGCTGGTCGGGCGGCGCCGCCGCCGCCGACACCTTCTCGAGGGCGGCGCGCATGCTGGTCAGCTCGCTCTCGAGGTGCTCGACGCCGTCCTCGACCGCGCGCCTGCTGCTGTGGTGCTCGCCGGCGACGAGGAGGAGGAGGTCGGCGAGCTTGGGGAGGAGGGTGTTCAGCGCCCCGGTGGACGCGCTCACCGCCGCCGCCTCCATCCGGAAGCTTGTTGCCCACTGGTAATTCTGTTTGTGTTTGGTTTTGCAGAAGTGCACAATTTTGTACTCTCTCCGTCCTATTTTAAGTGCAACTAGTTTCCGTGCCCAATTTTAATCATCTGTCTTATTTAAATTTTTTTATAATTAGTATTTTTGTTGTTAAGAAATGATAAAACATGAATATTACTTTATGCATGACTTATGTTTTTAATTTTTTTAAAAAATATTTTAAATAAGACGGACGATTAAAGTTAGGCACGGAAACTTATGCCGGAATAACTGAAGGAGGTCATTCAATGTAATTAAGATAGGAAGAAAGGCACGAAAACTTATAGCTGCACTTAAAATGAGACAGAGGGAGTAGCACTTAATTAAGCTTATACTTATAGACGTGTCTGATGGAAGATTGAAAGATGTGCTCAATTCTTTCTAAAATACTAGCAGTTGGTGAGCAAATCAAGTGATTGTCACTCAAAACTACTTTGCTTGTGCAACGCAACTACATATATAGCATAGGTTATTCGGTTATCTATTTGAAAGTTGCCTATTATTTCTTTTCACTTTCTTGTGGCTTGAATTGTCATTCATTTTTCCTTACTAGTAAAATACCCGTGCTATCGCTACGGGTGTGCTATGTTTGGAAGAAGCGTGTTATTTATATATTTTTTTTCTATATAAACATAATAATCAGTAAGTACATCATACAATGTGATTGTGAGTGACGTTCTTCTATTATATTATTCATTTGAACCAAGGTAAAATAGATAAACCATTTTCTTCATCAAAATTACATCCAACAGTATCATCTTTCAAGTCAAAATGAAACAAGCCTCCCTAATGAGATCATCTAGTATACAATTACCCTTTCTCTCCATTTACTTTCATTGCTGCTATATTCAGAGCTGTGATTGCATTGTGCCGTGGAGAGCATCTGATGGCTGTTCCATTAACTTCATTCTAATATCTGCTACCTTTGTATATGCCTGTGATAAACACAATCATAATATGGACAGAGAGGAACCTTGTGAGTTCAGTCAAAAGAAGGAAATGAACAAGGTTTCTCTCTACCCATAGGCTTTGCAATCAACAGACACTACTGGAAATATGGTGGCATTGTAGCGATACCTCAAGTTCAACTGTGTATGATAAACAATTGAAGGGCAGGATCTCTTCGTTGGCAAGCCTGAAAGCCATCATTCTCTAGATCTCCAAAATTTCTCCATCCACACAAATTCATTGTATAAAGAATGATCCTACAAAAGGTCAATTCACACCATGGAAAATCCATTAAAAAGCATGAAGTTGAAAATCTTGGAATGTTGGGTAGCTATCAGTATCATTTGTTGTCAGTTAAAGAAAACATATCAGTTACAGAGTAAACTTCGAGGGATGCAAAGCCAGGTTCCAGTTGCAAGATTCTATTTTGTAGAATCATTTAGCTGCATGAAACAACCTGATTTAAGGGACATGAGGAAACTTACCTTCTCTGAAAACCAAGTTGTATAGGTTATCTTCAGTATCAAATAGTCATTCTAGAGCTGCCTTGTTTTAAAACTAAACAAGGTTCAGAAGAGAGAATTCAAAAGCATAGCAAGTCATAATGTTGTCCGATGTAAAGAAAGGTACCATAGAAACCACCAACATAACGAGGAAATCTTGTCAGTGATTGTTGATAGGGAGGACATGGTTATGGGGGCAATACAGATCCACCACATGTAAAATAAATCTAACTATAACATTCAAATCTACATAGAATAATTTGGCAAACATTTTAGGCTTTTACCCTTCTTTTTCAAGGATAGGATATACAGTAGGTGCGGCGTGGCACTATGCTGAAGCCTACATTTTTCTGTTTTTCTCTAGGTTCCTAATTATAATTTGTTGTACAGTGCTACCCTCTCTTTAGTATAAAACCAGCAATGTTGGGTTGCTTAAAAAAAGGAGAGGAAGCATGCCCTGCTTGTGATAAAATTGTCTAGATAATCAGTTTGAAATATAGGAAACCAATTTTAGCACAAGCTTATTAGCCACATTTTGCAAGCACTGCGTTAACAGAAAAATCATAGCACTAAACTGTATAAACCGTCCTTGTGATTTCCTGTTATCTAACTTGTGTTCCCCATGCTGAGAGTCTAAGTACAATAATAAAGTGAAGTAAAGAGCAATACTTTCATACTCCCTCCGTCCCATTTTCACACTACTCCCTCTGTCCCATTTTGGTATATTGTACAATATACTACTACTTTGTAAGTGGAGTGAAGTAGTCAACAGAAGCACTGATGTCTTTCTGAATATTTGACCCCTTTGACCAGAAGTGAAATGCTAGAAGGTAGTAGTTGACTGGCACTGGTTGCACAGCCTCAGCCTCCTTTCTCAATTCCTCAAACAGTGCAAATGCAGGTATATCTGCCTTAAACTTGGAAGAACAGCCTGAAACATGGGTTGGTCTTGTCAAATTTGATCATGTTAACATTGTGATGCAATGGACAAAGAGTACATGTATGACATACCACAAATTGAGCTTCCCTTTGTTTTCTGGCTTCTTTTGGAGTTAAAGAGCACTAATTATGTTCTACCCTGATCATATTCATTCCTGAGGAAAAAAATAGAAAATTCAGTGACAAAGAACTATATGGGAATTGTACGTATCAATTCAATTAGACATTAGCTAATAATGTCATCAAATTTTTATTCAAAAAAAACCTACACTACGAATTAGGGGTGACTTTCTAGGTGAAGCAGACTCTGAATTTTGGGTGACATCCTAGATTCAATCTGATCTGAGGTGGCGAATTACAAAAAACTCATTGATATGCAGCCATCAAATCATAAAGACTCTCATTGATTTCACCAATTCCAGTTTTGAACTGTTTTAGAGCAAGTATAATACTGAGCTATAAGCCCACTATAAGCTTATGTGGAGAAGAGATGTAACAAAAAAATTAAGGGGGTTGGCTCTCATGCAAGAGCTAGCTTAACACAATCTCTAAGATAAATACATTAAATGTATAAGTGAGAGATAGAGACAGGAGAAGGAAATTATACCCAACCTTATAGCTAATATATTATATATGTATGTTGATTTTAAGATGGACTAATAGTATGAAGTGAGCTATACTATTATCCTCGCTCTTAATCAATCTCTGGATCTTGATGGTACGGACAATCCATTCAATATAACTCAATTGTTAAAAATGTAGAAGGAAGGAATATTGATCATGGAGGCACAGCCTCTTCTCCAGTCAAAGGCACAAAGACAAGACAACAATCTTAAATTTTATTTTCTTTTGCAGTATTCTGAGAGGGCAAGAAATCACCTAAGATATATTTGGGATTGATCTTGCAAACAAATACTGTCGAGCAACTTGGTAGTATAGTGTCTTCTTGATAGCCCTAGGAAATCTGAGCTGATTTCTTGCAGCTAGATTCCGACTGCAACCTGAAAAATCAAAAATATTTTACGAAACATTTTTTACAGCAACAGTGTGGTTAGAATCTATATTTATATCTCTAGTATATATAATATTTTCTTTACTGAACAAGAAGCTAAAAACCAAGTACTGGCAAGTTAGGCAACCACCTGAACTAAACCAAAATACTCCCTCCTTCCCTAAATGTTTGACACCGTTAAATTTTTTAAACATGTTTGACCGTTGTAAAACTATATGTATACATAAAAGTATATTTAACAATAAATTAAATGATAGAAAAAGAATTAACAATTACTTAAATTTTTTGAATAAGACGAACGGTCAAACATTTTTAAAAAAGTTAACGGCGTCCAACATTTTAGAACGGAGAAGTACCAAATACTGCTTACTACTTGTACAGCCGTCCCCGCAGTCCGCTCGCTTGTACTACAGTCTACAGTCGGTGCCGCTCGGTTCTAGAACAGCTACTGCGGCCGCTGCCACAGGTTCAACTTGAAATCAGCAGATCAAGAGCCTGGTCAGTGACTTCCTCCTTCACCTCAAGCTTTGATATCAATAATTCTTTTCTGAAGACCTGATCTTCCCACAATCAAGATTTTTTTTATTTTTTAGATCTTTTTAGTTTATAATTTTATTATTACACATTTCCAAAGAATATTTTCAAAACCTGAACCTTTTGGCCGCGCCGGCCGAGTGGCTGGCTTGGCAGTGTTGTTTGGCCACGCCAACCGTTGGCGTGGCAAAGGCCTGCCACACCGGCTGGAGTGATATAGTTTTTTGGCTACGCCAGACGGGCTGGCGTGGTCAAAAGGTTCGGATTTAAAAATATTTTTTTAGAAAGGTCTATTAATAAAATTAAAAAATAAAAAATTCCACAATATACACATGTGAGTATCTCAATTGAAGAATCGAACACACTCCCAATGACTGCAATTTTTTCCCTAAATTTCGATTTCCATTTGGGATTTTGTGGAGATGAGCGACCATAACTGACCTGTATCTATGGTCGTCGTAATAGAGGAGGTTGGAGGGCGGCATCTCATCGATGTCGAAGACCAACGGGATAAATTTGTGCCAAGAAAGGTCAGCAGTTTGCTCACCGTAGCAACCACGGCCGGGCGCAACATCAGATTACATCGGAGGCGTGCGGCCCAGCGCCCATGCCGTGCTGAATGTGGCAGCTATATTTGATTGATCAAGATATTTTGTACTCGCTCCGTTTCTAAATATTTTGATACTGTTGACTTTTTAACATATGTTTGACCGTTTATCTTATTTAAAAATATAAGATCAATGTGTGTTTTGATTCTTATTCTGTGATGAACAATTGGCATCTGTGATTATTGATTTTGATATTTGGAATTTATTCACGAAGTGGTTTTGGAGATGATTGGATTTCACAGGTGATCTACAGGAGGATACTGTTGAATTGTGGTCCGGTCAGACCAGGCTAGTGTGGCCGGTCAGACCGGCGTGTATTGCGTGGTCAGACCGGCGCGGCCCGCGGTCTGACCGGCGCAGCCCGCGGTCTGACCGGCCGATGCTGCGTCAGTTTTGGTTTCGGATTGTTTCTTTGGATATCCGTGATTGTTTCATGGTTATGGCTT